ACCAAGAAGACAGAGCATCACTTGCCCCAGAGCCCCTATCTATACCTTGTGGCTAATAGCCACTGATGGACCTCTGCTCCATATGCTTATCTAATTCCCTTTTGAAGCCGTCCATGCTTGTAGCCACCACCACTTCCTGTGGCAGTGAATTCCATGTGTTAATCACTCTTTGGGTGAAGAAGTACTTCCTTTTATCCGTTCTAACCCGACCGCTCTGCAGTTTCATGGAGTGCCCACGAGTTCTTGTATTGTGAGAAAGGGAGAAAAGTACCTCTTTCTTTACCTGCTCTTTCCCATGCATAATCTTATAAACCTCGATCATGTCACCCCTCAGTCGTCTTTTCTCCAAGCTAAAGAGCCCTAAGCGCTTTAACCTTTCCTCATAGGGAAAGTGTTCCAACCCTTTTATCATTCGAGTTGCCCTTTTCTGCACTTTTTCCAAAGCTATAATATCCTTTTTAAGGTGTGGTGACCAGAACTGCACACAGTATTCCAAATGAGGTCACACCATTGATTTAATTATTATATTGGCTGATCTGTTTTCAATACCCTTCCTAATAATCCCCAGCATAGCATTTGCCTTCTTTATTGCAGTCACACACTGTCTCGACATTTTCAGTGAGTTATCCACTACAACTCCAAGATCTCTCTCTTGCTCAGTCTCTGCCAGTTCAGACCCCATCAATGTGTATTTATATTTAGGATTTTTGGCTCCAATGTGCATCACCTTGCACTTGGCCACATTGAATTCCATTTGCCATGTTGACGCCCACTTGCCCATCCTTGACAGATCCCTTTGGAGTGCCTCACAATCCTCACTGGTTTTCACCACCCTGAACAACTTCATATCATCCTCAAATTTAGCCACTTCACTGCTTACTCCCAACTCCAAATAATTAAGGAACAAGTTAAAAAGCAGTGGAACAAGTACTGATCCCTGCGGTACCCCACTGCTTACCACCCTCCACTGAGAAAATTGCCCATTTATACTCACTCTCTGTTTTCTATTAATTAGCCAGTTGATTTTTGAGCTTACTTAGGAGCCTTTGATGAGGAACTTTATCAAAAGCTTTCTGGAAGACAAAGTAAACAATATCTATTGGATCCCCCTCGTCCACATCTTTGTTCACCCCCTCAAGGAACACTAACAGGTTAGTAAGACAAGATCTTCCCTTACAGAACCCATGCTGAGTCTGCCTCAGTAGGTTTTGTTCATCTATGTGCCTACTAATTCTTTCCTTAATAACAGTTTCCACCAATTTACCCGGTATCGACGGCAGACTGACTGGCTTGTAATTTCCCGGCTCTCCTCTGGAACCCTTTTTAAAGATGGGAGTGACATTAGCTACCTTCCAGTCCTCAGGAATGGAGGCTGATTTTAAGGAAAGATTACATGTTTTTGTCAGGAGATCCACAAGTTCACATTTGAGTTCCAGAAGAAAGAGCTAGTCCTTAAAATGAAGACCCATGACCAGACCTCCAGGCATCTTTAATTTTATTTAGAAGCAGTCATGGGAGATTGCTGATTTGACTGTGGAAGTAGCATGTAACTCTTCTCACACACGAGTTCCTTAAATTTCTACCCTGGATGTATTAGCACCAGAGCCATCAACAAGATGGAATAACGAACCAAGGCCCAGCTTACCATATAACAAAACATCCTGCAAGGACCTGCTTTCCAATGACAGCCGTGCAAGCCGAGGGGCATGGTCTTTTCGAACTTTCAGCCAAAGATCTTCTGTTTTCTCCAGCCTGCCTGAGTGACCAGCCTCTAACTAACAAAACAAAGTAAGCATAGCTTTACCATCCAGCAGTCACATCTAAATGGATTTTTCACAATCCAGCTCTTTAAAACTCATTCGTCTCAACAGATCAGTGCAAGTAATATATGCTAGGGCATATTCTTTTTCCAACCAAGTCATGGTTGGATCCAACCAGATTTTCCACTGGCAGAAAATGAGGAGGAAGTCCCATTTGACCACCCAAAAGGTTGTGCTGAGGATAATCCAACTTGAATAGACAACAGGTATGTGGAACAAAGGAAGTATTGAGGAGGGGAATTGGGCAAGATTAAGTAAAAAAGCTGGCTAGATCTAACCTCTAAGCATTCCTTAAAAGAAGAAAGCTATACAGGGTTTTTACTTGTGACAATTCTACGAATCATATGATTGTTAACTGAAAATGAATTTTTGGATTCCCCATTTGGAATTCAAACACTGCAGAATGTAAGTAGAATGGTTTTCACAGCACTATGATCCTCCAACTACATCTTATCACACCAAGCTCAAGAGCATGAAAGAGCACAGCAGATACATTATAGTTAGAAGCAACTGAAAGAAGTCAAAAGTACAATAGTGCTATCAGGAAAAATGAAAAGAGCACACAACATATTTTCTCTAAGCATATCCAGCCCTGAGGTCTTGATACAAGGTACTACACTAAATTCCTCCATGGTTTCCAGAGAAGAATGATCAACTGTTTTTAAAACCATTGTACTATTCCTCCAAAATATTGTTTTCCTACTTGCTAACTGCCATCTACAAGTTATCCCAGAGGGTACTCTTAATTCTTCTAACCCCACAACAATATTAATTGTATGGATACTGCAGTTTAGAAAATGAGATTTGCTCAGACATTTCCTATTATTATTTGAATCAGAAGATGTAGAATGTCACATCACCTCAGACTATCAGTGAGCCATCTATCTAGCCTAAAGTGTCTGCATGAGTGTGAGTATGGAAGGTAAAGAAAAGAACTGGATTTCAGTAAAGCTTTTGACAGGGTTCCCCATGATGTTCTGATGGGTAAACTAGAAGACTGTGGACTAGACTCTAGGATAGTTAGGTGGATAGGGAACTGTTTAGAGAACCGCACTCAAAAAGTAGTTGTCAATAGCATTTCATCTAAATGGATGGAGGTGTTCAGTGGGGTGCCACAGGGCTCGGTTCTGGGCCTGGTACTTTTCAGTCTTTTTATAAATGATCTGGATGAGGGTGTGGAGGGATTACTAATTAAATTTGCAGATGACACTGAATTGGGAGGAGCAGCAAACACACCAAAAGGGATTACTCATTAAATTTGCAGATGACACCAAATTGGGAGGAGCAGCAAACACACCAGAAGACAGGGATAGAATTCAACGAGATCTGGATACACTGGAAAAGTGGCTGGATGTGAACAAGATGTGATTTAACAAGGATAAGTGCTGAGTTCTACATCTGAGTAACAAAAATGAGGAACACGCATACTGGATGGGAAATAAGCTTCTGGGTAGCAGTGTGTATGAACAAGATCTGGGGGTACGGGTGGACTGTAAGTTAAATATGAGTAGCCAGTTTGATGCAGCATGATGCAGCGACAAAAAAGGCTAATGCAATCTTGGGGTGTATCAACAGAAGCATAACACCCAAAGCACAACATGTCATAGTCCTGCTGTACACTGCATTGGTCAGACCGCACCTGGATTACTGTGTGTAGTTCTGGAGGCCTCACTTCAAAAAGGATGTGGACAAAATGGAGTGGGTGCAGAGGAGAGCAATAAGAATGATCGAGGGCCAGGAGACAAAGTCCTATGAGGAAAGGCTGAGGGACGTGGAAATGTTTAGTCTGGAGAAGAGGACGCTGAGGGGGCCATGATTGCTCTCTTTAAGTATCTGAAGGGCTGACACTTAGAGGAGGGCAGGGAGCTGTTCTTGTTGGCAGCAGAGGATAAGGACTCGCAATAATGCGTTTAAATTAAGGGCAGGAAGGTACCTGCTGGATCTTAGGAAAAACTTTTTTACAGTTGTTCAACAGTGGAATCAGCTGACTAGGGAGGTGCTGAGCTCCCCCTTGCTGGCAGTCTTTAAGCAGCAGCTGGACAAATACTTGTCAGGGATGCTCTAGGCTGATCCTGCACTGAGCAGGGGGTTGGATTAGATGGCCTCTCCCAGCTCTGTGATTCTATGATCCTATGAACTGTCACTTATTTTCTGACTTCCGACTTCTTGGGGGAAAGTGTGTACGGAGTAAGGGAAGAACTAACATGAAGATTCACTATGCTTCCCATTGTCTCACCAGCCATTTCACCTGGTCTTCAAAGCTGCATAAGTATAAAGCAGCAGCTTTGTGGATGGTAAAGTAGCTCTGGTAAAGCTGGTACAGACCCAATCAAGACATTGTGCTGGTCTGGCCTGTTCGCATAACTCAAGAATGGCACTTCTGATACTTGGGTTTGCCACACTCGCTTTGCCCTTCTTAAACACCTGTACATTTGCCAGTTTCAGCAGCTATTGCTCTGGAACAGCAGATGGTGGGCAGCACCACCTCCCACATTCAGCTTCATTTATAATCCTTCTCCCACTCCCAGATGGCAGACAGCAGTATTGCTGATTGTTAACATAGCCTTTAAGACTGAGTGAGGTAGTATATAGCAAGGTTGGAGGATGTACCTTTGTGATGTTTGGTGCTTTCTGTAAGAAAATTAAAATTATATTAGAAGATTTATCAGGAGGGATTAACTAGATTGTGATGCCCAACACTGCAGACAACAGTCTCTTAATTTCAGGCCACGATAACTCACTCTTCACAGTACCATCACTGAGGAACAAAATCTATTCTAGTGCACTGCATTAAAGAAATATTTCAATAATGTACTCTCAGCAAGGTTAGACACAATTATCCATTTTGTAAATGTTTTACTGCTTTAAAACAACAAAACACTCACACATCAGAATGGTTTCTATTTTGTATTTAATCCTGCACCAATTTGCTTTAAACTGCATAATATCTTCCATGTTCTAGGCAGTAGCCATTTTACCTCAGTTTTCCTCTTGAACATTTTTTTCCAGTTAATTCATTTGTTGCCTTAAGATCTTTACTGGCAGAAAGTGCAGGGCATAAATCTTTTAAAGGAAACTACACTGCCATAATTAACAACTTTCCTATCATTAAAGGCCCAGAGAATACATTTGTAGTAGCATCCTAACATTTCTGTTCTACAGAACAAGCTCTGTGTGCCACTGCACCCATCTTTTCCAGTCTTAAGAGTGCAGGAGAGGCAAGACAGTATTTAGGTGCTGTTCTTGGTGAAAAAGAAGCAGGAAGAAGTGTGGGTGACTCTCAAAAGTACTTACTTGAAAGACTGGTGTATAGGGATGTACACCAACTGCATTTTTGCAGATCGGTTTGTGGCTGAACCACGAACCTATACAAACCGGGATCCTGGTTCATGAACTGTACCAGTTTGTATGGGTTCATAACTCCTGCTTTCTGTTCCCCACCAGTTCTTGTAGGAAGCAGAAAGCAAGCTTTTTGTGAAAAGCAAAAATCAGGGAATTAGACCCCTGCTTTCTGCTCTTCACAAACCACCACAAACGGTATCAGAATTCATGAAAGTTCATGGCAGTTCTTCACTTTGCAAACACTGCTTCACAAACCATGAACTGGCCAGAATTGATGATGAACCGGTTTGTCAGCCGGTTCATGCCCATCCCTACTGGTATAAATTTGCCAATCCTTTGCAGTTCCCTTTATGTCAAACTTACCTGTCGCAAAGAGGCTGCAAAAGCTTCATGAGAACTGTTTAGCCTTGTCCGGAACTGGCTGCAGATGCTCTTAGCCAACTTGGATGCACTAAGACTCTCTATAGCATCCTGGGCTACTTTCCTTTTCCATTCTGTAGTGATAGCCGGTGGGCTCACCCATGAAATCCTTTGTATTATCTAAGAGAAAAGAAGATAGTTGTATCACTGTCTACAGTATTAAAATCTTTTATCTGTATTGTAATTGTGCTATTGAACAATGACAAAACTGAGGTCAAAATGATGTACACATATGTGTACACAAGTTATTTTTGTTTACAACACAGCTATGATTTAACAGTGTGGCTTTTGCAGTGGCTAGTCTTTAATCCACTCTGTAAGCAGACAATGCTGAGTAACAGAACTAAGCATTCCACAAACCTAGTTCCAGTGTGATCATCTGAATGATGACAGACCTACTGAAGATCAAACGTACAACTAATGGTATCAAAGTATTCAATTTTATTGGGTTAAGTTTCTTTCCCCTCCTTGGTTCTGTTCTGTCATCAAAATATTAATACCTGCTTGATCTGTTCCCACAACATTCTTGTTACCGTTGAACCCGAGTGAAAAGTGACTTCAACATGGTAGGCCGCATTCAATATCTGTAAATGGAAAATGAATCAATCATGTTCCAGTCTGTGAAGCACAACTGCCCAATTCTATGGATTAAAAAATTTGGAATGACTGGACAAGAGTCTTCTCATTCATTTGATCTCCACAAGCAGCATGCAATGAACTTGTGTATTTTCTTCCAGTTACAGCTAGAAAGATAGCTTGTTCATCTGTTTTGAATAATATAACACTGAAGAATTCAGAGAGTACAAGCTTCAGCCAACCACCATCCTAGAAACATACTTTAAACTAGTTTATTAATTTTCATATTTCTTTACCTGTTTTAGATAGTTGCTTGTAATATGCACAGAAATATCTTGCTGAGATTTCTCCAAACTCTTCAGACATCTTTCCAGAGTCCCTACAAAGCTCTCACGCAGGTAGTCCACAGAACTGATCAACTTGTTTGCAACTGCTTGATTTAGTCGTGAAATTATCAACTCCTGTATTTGCCTAATGCAACATTTTATGTCTCTGGAACTAATAGGCTCTCCATTTTCAGGAATGATAATATCTGAAGAAGGGGTGAAAATGGAAAAATTGCATGACATCACAATCCTGGTATATCAGCACCTATCCAGAATTAGTGCAACAGCAGCTTTAGTTGCTCCCATGAAAAGACAAGTGGCTTACCTGTAACTGATTATCTTCAAGTGGTCAACTGTGCATTCACACCTCTGGGGTATAGTGCGCCTGCGCTGATCTTGATCGGTACTTCTTAGAAAGTGAAAGGGATTTTCACGCCCACTCCCCAGTCACAAGCCGGCCTCACTGCACATGACTAGGGGAGGGGCACAACAATCCCGCCCGCCAGTTCCTTCTGACCGCTGCCAGCAGTCTCAGAGCAAAGAACAAAAGGTCCGAAAAGGTTGGGCCACAAGCCGGAGGGAAGAGGTGAGCAAGGCCCTTCAGGAACTGCTTCATTTGAGGGTGAGAAAAAACAGAATAGCTGTCCACCGTAGGATGATTAGCAGAGATGGCGGTCAGGAACACCTTCAGTGAGGAACAACTAAGACCCAAGTCTAAGCGGGACAACAGGAATCCAAAAACTGCAATCAAGTTTGTAGGAGGCGGAGGTAAAGCCAACAACTCAAGGTAAGTTAAAAATTTCTTCCATTTCCCATCATAGGAAGCATACGTAGCTGGTTTGCGACAGTTCAACAGAACATGATCTATCTTGCTTTTAAGCTGTGCTAAAGGATCCTCCACACTCTGAGTTTGAGGGGTGGTACATCGTGGTGGAGCACCTGGCCCACCTGAGCCAGGAGGAGATCTGGTGCTGGAGGGAAGTGCATGAAGGCACCCTGTGACATGTGGAGTAGAGTCGGGAACCAATGCTGATGTGGCCACCATGGAGTCACAAGGATGCACCGAGGTTATTCCTTCATGATCTTGCTCAGCACTCTGGTATCCAGAGTGATTGGTGGGAATAGGTACACATGCCTGTGGGACCACGGGTAAAGGAGACTGTCTCCCAGAGATACAGGGTCCTGTCCCGCCCTGGTATGGAACTGGTGACACTTTGCATTTTGGTGCGTTGCAAATGCATCTATTTCTGGGTGACCCCATCCGTCAAAAACTGGTTGGAGATAGTCCCAGTTGAGTTCCCACTCGTGAAGGGATGCTCCCCCTCTGCTCAGAAAATCCGTGTGCACACTGAGCGACCCGGGCAGGTGAGCCGCAATGATGAACACATCCCAAAATTGGCATTTGGCCCAAATCTCCAAGGCTAGTCAGCAGAGTCCCCTGGACACTGTTCCCCCTTGCCGGTTCAGGTAGCACAATGTGGTAGTGTTGTCGGTCAGGACTGCTACCGTGCGGTGAGCCACAAGGTGGCGAAAAGACCTGAGGGCATATTGGATAGCCAACAGTTCCAAAAAGTTGATGTGGTTGTGGGCCACATGAGGTTCCCACCTGGCGCCCATGCACACACCTTTGAGATGTACTCCCCATCCCCATAGGGATGCATCCATGGTGAGGGTCATTTCGGGGCTGGGTGCATGAAATGGGGCTCCCTGAAGAAGGTTTCCTGGGGTTTCCCACCACTTCAGGGAGGCCAGCACTTGTGCAAGGAGTATGAATTGTTGAGATTGGGGCTGCCATTATGGATGGAACCTCTTGAGGAACCACATCTGACGTGGTCTCATTCGTAGTCTGGCGAAGACAAGTACTGCTGTGGTGGCAGCCATCAGCCCTAGGAGTCGCTGGATCTGTTTTGCCAATGCATCGCCCTGTTTCTTCACTAGGCCGATGAGAGCGATAATGTTGTCTGCCCTTTTGGGAGGAAGAAAGGCTCGGCAGACCTTTGAGTCCAAGATTGCCCCAATGAATTGGACTCTTAATGAGGGAAAGAGCATTGAATTTTTAAGGTTCACCCTCAGGCCCAGGGCATCTAGGGTAACCAACGTCAAATCAATACAGTTGAGCAGTCTCTCTGGAATTTGCTACTAGCAACCAGTTGTTGATGTATGGGAAGATCCGCACACCCTGGAGACAGAGGTAGGCCGCAATGACAATCATCATTTTTGTAAAGACTCTGGGCGCTGTTGAGAGCCCAAAGGGGAGGGCTTTGTATTGAAAATGGCCGTCCCCGACCGCAAAATGCAAAAACCTTCTGTGAGATGGGTAGATAGTGATATGGAAATATGTGTCTTGCAAGTCCAGGGTTACCATCCAGACATCTTTGCCGAGAAGCAGGAGTATCCTTTGCAAGGTTGTCATGCGGAATTTCCGATTAGAAATAAAACGGTTGAGTCCCCTGAGGTCCATAATAGGCCGGAGGCCTCCGTCCTTCTTGGGGACCGTAAAATAACGGGAATAAAACCCGTGGTGACGTTGCATCATCGGAACTGGTTATATAGTGTCCTTTTGAAGGAGATTTTGAATTTCTTCCAGGAGCGAGCTGGATGGTGAAGTAAGCACAAAATTGGGGGCCTCAGCCATCTGGATAAATTCTATGAGGTACCCCTTCTTGATAACAGAGAGCACCCACCAATCCGATGTTATTCACTGCCAAGCAGCCAGGTAAGGAGATAGGTGGGTGGGGGGTAAAGGCAGATGACGTGAGTCAAAGGATCTGCTTGGGAGCTTTAGGGGTCTTAGCCCTACAGTGGGTGGCAGACGAAAACTTAGGTTTGTGCCCATAAGGCCGAGAAGACACAGTGGGTGATCGTTGCCATTGCGTCTCCGGAGACGACTTAAGAAAGAATCTGCAGGACCATGATTTGTTCCATGGTTTTGTCTTGTTTAGTTTAGTAGCTGACGTGACCCCTAAATTACGAGATGTCTTAATGTTTTTGTCTAGATCTTGCAAGACAGTATCAGTCGTGGAACTGAAAAGACCCTCACCCTCGAATGGAAGATCTTCAATGAGAGTTTTAGTATCCTGTGACAAGGCTGTGGAATGCAACCAGGTATGACACCTGAGGGTAACTGCTGAAGTCAGTATTTTGGGTGCCACATCCAGTGTGTGCTTAGCTGCATTGAGCTGGTGCTTAGCCAAGAGCATGCCCTCCTTTTGAATTCTGACGGTTAAAGTCCTCGGGAAGGGCAGCAATAAATTCACACATTTGTTCCCAGTGGGCAAACTGATTCTCTCCCCATACATGCAGTATAGTTCAAAGTCTTGATGTCAAGTGCTCCAGTGGAATAAAATTTTCTCACTCCTTCAGAATAGGAGCAGCATCCACGGCGGCAGCCTTAGGCTATCGCACTGCTGATATTCAGAGGGTGGGCAGGTGGCGATCTGCCGCTTACAAACGTTATGTGCGCCCTCTTCCCTTATTATAAGTTACTGTTTGCAATGCTGTTTGCCTGTTGGGTTCCGGAGTTCATTGTCGTTTCTTCCTAGGAGCTGTGTTTTGTGACAGGAGATGGATTCTCATCTCCGGATACAGCTACATCTTCTGGGCGGCTCATCGGGCCAATCGATCGGCCATTGGCTCGCAACTGGGCCTCAGCCAGTGGGCTACGGTCGAGTGGAGGGGGTGCCGGGGCCTGTGTTGGCCAGGCCTCCTCCCTCTTCTGTTTAAGGCTGGTTCAGCCTTGCCGCCAGATGTGTTGGTTATCCACCTGGGAGGTAACGATTTGGGATTCCTGAAAGGGAAGGCCCTGGTGTGGCAAGCCAGGGATGACCTGGAGTGCATTAAGCGCCAATGGCAGGGAGCGGTGGCGCAGTCTGTAAAAGCCTGCAATAATCTATCAACGAACAGCCATACGGCTGTTCGAGTCCCACCGCGGCCGGGGTGAGCTCCCGGTCCTTGTCCCAGCTCCCGCCCACCCAGCAGTTCAAAAGCCCTTGGCAAGTAGATAAATGGGTACCTGCTCCTAGGAGTGGGGGGCACCCACCTTCCAATGAATTGGTGTGCAGCGGCGGTGGTGGCAGGCGACGGGAGGCGATCCGGCGAACATGGTGGCAATCCGGCGTTGAGCAACGAGCGACCCAGGTGGAGATTAGTCCAGGAAACGCGGCGACATGACGACATGGCGCGGTCAGAGCCAATAGGACGGAGGCCAGTTGCTACAGCCATCGCATAGTCATGTGCCGTGAGGTCCACTCCAGAAGGAGTCACTGCGGAAGAAGATCTCTGCCGAGACACCGTCGCCTTGAAAACGGAAAGAACCCACCACGGAAAGATCCTTGCTGTTCGGGTGCCTGGTAGGCATTCACCCCTCCCCTTGCACTGTGGCCCTAGTTAGGATGATTTAAATGTCTCTGTAAACCGCTCCGAGCCCTCGGGAAGGAGCGGTATATAAGTTGAAAGTGTAATGTAATGTAATATAATGTAGGGTGTGTGGAATGACTGTGTTCACCTTTGGAAGAGGAGGTGACTACCACCGAGTTAAGCTTGGTGTGGGTGAATAAAAAAACAGTGCCCGACTCTTGCACCCTATACATGTGATCTACTCTCCGGCTAGAGACGGGGGTGGAAGCCGGGGGATACCACGGAACCTTGGCCGCCTGTAACAAGACCTAAGTCATTGGTAAGGCTATCGGTGTTGAGGTGTCCATCTGCACGATATCGAACACGGAGTGTTACTGTAGATGGGGGTTGCACAGTAGACAGGGTCAGCGTGTTGGACATCCGCTTGATGAAATCCCCATAGGAATTGAGATCCTCTGACGGAGAAATTAGCAGATCATCGCCCACTTGCTGAGGTGGCGAGGGTTCCATTGGAGGGCCGGGGTTCTCGTCCCCTGAATGGGAGGAGGTATCGGAAGAAGCGGAATGCTCAGATGGTTCGAAAAAAGAAATAGGCAGCATTGGTGTCAATGGGATTGGTTCTGATGGATCTTTAAACTTGGGGGCTATTGGGGGCGGTGGTTTGGTTGTTCTGCCTGTCGGTCTCGACGGCTGGGGTTTCACAAACTCTGGCGTCGGGAGAGGATCTCGATACCGATAAAGTCAGGAGGAAGTGGATTGATGATCCCATTCCACCAGTTGGGGCGGGAACCAAGGCATGCCGGTTGTGAAGGGATAGGCCCAATACATATATTGCCATTGCCATTGATCCCACAGGGGTGTCAGCGGGTGGATCAGTCCCGATGGCCGGTCTCAATCGTCAGGTCGGAGCAGCGAAGGACGCACAAAGGTGCCGGCTCCACAGTCTGAGTGTAGGCTTTCGACACTGGAAGACCCGAAGATCTGCGTCAAGTCCATATCATGCTCAGAGTCGGTGAGCTGGACAGGACACAGCGAAGGTGATAGGGGGACACCTTGTTGCTGCTCACGGCCCGTGGAGTCAAGCGAAGCAGCCCCAACGGGATTAGGTTCTGTGGCCCTCCGAGGGGTCAGCGGAGTTTGCGCTGAGGGGTTTTTCTTATGCTTCTTGTGCTTGACTGACCAGTCGTCCTTGCCCTCCCTGCGTTTTTTGGAGGGAGTATGGGCTTCAGACTGAGATGTCTGGGCCAAGCGCTTCAACATTGGGCGGTCGACATCTGAGTGAGTCGGTATCGGGGACATCGCAGCTGTCGATGCCGAGGCAGGTGTCGACATCGATGCATGTCCTGAAGTGTCCTGTGACGACGACATCGGTGAGAGTGCTAACTCCAAAACTGTGACACGAAGTCTAGCAGCTCTGTTCTTTCTCGTTTGCTTCGAGAACTTCATGCAATGAGCACAAGAGTCCACTTGGTGCGATTCCCCAAGGCACAGAAGGCAAAGCAAGTGTCCATCGGGGGGGGGGGGGCTATTTTACTACCACACTTGAGGCACTGTTTAAAGAATCCCCACCTCTTGGCCATAGGCCAGGAGGTGGGGGGGAGAAGAGATCTGCCTAGCAGGGAGACCCAAACACACACGCCCGAAAAAAACAAAATCCAATAACAATATTGTCCTTTCACTTACAGAAAAAGAAAAAAGAAAAAAACTCCAAAAAAAAGAATAGGCCCTAAAGCCAGAAATTTACCGACCGAAGCAGAGAGGATCCTACCAGCGCGGCAGTCAGAAGAGAACTAGTGGGATTGTTGTGCCCCTCCCCAGTCATGTGCAGTGGAGCCGGCACGTGACTGGGGAGTGGGCGCGAAAATCGCTTTCGCTTTCTAAGAAGTACCGATCAAGTTCAGCGCAGGTGCACTATACCCCAGAGGTGTGAGGCACAGAGACCACGAAGAAGATCAGAAGATTTCAAGGCACTACCTGGATTGGCTGCTGTCTGGGGATTCTACACATATGAACAAAGCCTACAATCCAGACAATTTAAGTGCAGCATCACTGATGTCAATGAGACATTCAAACTTCTGCTTAATGCTTCCATTTAATTTACTGCAATTCAAAGGGTTAAATTTGACTGGATCATACCCTATATTCCAATTATAAGTTTACATTCAAAGACTTTTTACAGCTTTCAAAGCAGATTAATCTTGTTAACATAAGTATATGCATATTTATAATTTTAACTAAATAAACTGGCTTCAATGGAACACTCCTAAAAACAGCATGAGAGCAGGATGGGAAGGGCAAGAAAGTTGCACTCTAAATAGAAATCCTCTGTTAGATCCAACCCATTAAGTCATTTTATGCCAAGAGTGTTTACAGATTATTTTTTTTTAAATCCAGTGAAGAATTCTACTGCACAACGGCTTGCTCACAGAGTTCAAGTATCTGCATACAGTAGCTGAAAAGGAGACAAAAGAGGGGGGGAAATCCACCTCTTCAGAAAGTCCAATTACTTTTGTAAATAAATTACTTTTGTAAACAAAATACTGGCTTATTCTTTAAGGCAAGCGTCACTTGCCTATTCTACAAGAATTTACTTGAAGTGATAAGTAACTCTGGGGCTGCAGTTCTAAGCATACTTACTGGGCCTTTCATTGTAAACATGCTTAAGCTCAGGCTGCAAGTCTGCTTACATGTTAGTAAAAAGGTAAAGGTTCCCTTGCTCGAAAGCCAATCGAATCTGACTCTAGGGTTGCGGTGCTCATCTCCATTTCAAAGCCAAAGAGCCAGGGCTGTCCGAAGACATTTCCGTGGTTATGTGGCCGGCATGACTAAACACCAAGGTGCACGGAACGCTGTTACCTTCCCACTGAAGTGGTACCTATTTATCTACTTGCAATTTCTTGCTTTTGAACTGCTAGGTTGGCAGGAGCTGGAACTAGAGACGGGAGCTCACTCCGTCATGCGGCACACTCGGGTCTCGAACTGCTGAACTACCGACCTTCCACAGCCTGCAGTTCAGCGTCTTAACCACTTGAGCCACCGCAGCTCCTTTACGTGTTAGTACTCGCTAATATACAGTTCTGATATACCACAGACCTGCTGGCATTTAAGCAGACAATTAACTAGGCTCCATTTTCAGAATATTGAGGGGGGTTTTACTGTCTTTTTTTAAAGAGAGAGTAATTTGAAATTTATGATTTTTCACAGAATTAAGTCAGACAAAGTATAGTATCTACTTTCAACTCTACTGCTTCAAAATTAAATTCCAGGCAATCACAGCTCGCAAGTCACACCCCTTCCTCATAAAGCCTGCTTCCTGAAAACTGTATACATAAATAGCAACACTTTAAAAAGAGAAATCTACACATTGCCATTTTTCCTGAAGTGAGTAATACATTATAATAAAAGAAAATGCTTTGTTTACAAAGCTGGAATTGCACTTTTACAGGCCCTTTGCACAGATCTGTAGTGATGTGATGGTCCAGCTGTAAACAAACTTTTATCCTTGCAGCTCATGCTGAGGACATATTTACATGAAACACAAACAGCACACCTCCCAAGGGACCATACATCGTTTGCATGTTATGTCATCTTGTCATCAGGGCAGAACCATATATAAACATTTTTACACCCTTATAGCTGTGGGAGCAATGGTGAAGGAGACTGTTAACACTCTTGCCAATCTAGGTGCATATGAAGAGGACTTTCATTTACAATCAGTATGTGAATGTTTTGGGTTTTTTGGAAGGCAAGAAGAAAAAGCCAGGTACTTTCTGGAGATTACCTTTAAATTCCATATTCGCAGCATCTTCCAGCAGCTCTTCTTTCATGTTATTGAGAGTTTCAATTATCATGTCCTTCATCTCTTCTTGCTTACGGTTGGCTATGTTCATCAGAGACTCATACAGCTCATTTTCTTTCTTCCGTGTGTAGTCTAGCCGCTTTGGAGTGATCTGCAAGTCTCGCTGCATGTCAAAGGCCTGGTTGATGAATATGTCCAGACAACGGCAGTGCACTATGTTCAAGATCGTGGCTGCATCTACCAAGTGCTTCTGCAACACCTTTCTAGCGAAAGTGCTAAGCAGGCGAATCTTATCAGATTGTTCTACCAGCATGCTCTCAGCTTTTGCATCAAAGCTGGAAGCTCCACAGCTGCAGTGGTTGGTACTAAGGTAGTCTAGGTCTAGCAACTGCCGATAAAGCAATGACTTTTCATTTTCCGTGTCTCGAGGGGTTATTAGTTCCACCCCCCAAATGGACACTTTAATAAAAAAGACAGGTGGAGAGAATTTCTGTTTAATCTCCCGCAGTTCACTCATATCCAGGGCAGAGAGCTCTGCTTCACTAATGGCAAAGGTGATGACTGGAAGGACATGGTTTATGTATTCCCCCAAGGTGACCTCTGCTGACTGGAATCCCCAACATGGAGCTACCACAATGTCCACCTCCTGAAAAGAGCAAGACAGTATGAATTTAACATTAAAATTATAATTATTTGAGTTGTCTACTCAGGATTCTTCACTCCTTCTCATCAACAGCAACAAACATTTTTCCCCACCCCCCTTCTCTCAAGAGGTATCCAAACTTAAGAAAGATGGAACCAGAACAATACAATTCCTCATTGTGTGTAAAGAAAGTTCTCCCTCTATGGAATTAAAAAAACCCAACTCTAGGAGCTTCATGTCAGAATGGGACTATAAACCTGGGCCTCCTAATACTAGTTTAACAGCTACACTAACTGCTTAGAAGGATTTGTGTGTGTGTGTGTGTGTGTGTTTGTGTGGAAGAAAATTCAGTTGTAACTGCCCACATCTGCAGTGTGAAACAGTACAGCCCAGATACAGTTTACAGCCTCAGCAAAAACTAGGCATTAATATCATCCCCAATTCAAGCAATCTTTCAACACTTGTTAAAGGTAAAGGTTCCCTTGCTCGAAATCCAGTCGAATCCAACTCTAGGGTTGCGGTGCTCATCTCCGTTTCAAAGCCGAAGAGCCAGCGCTGTCCGAAGACGTTTCCGTGGTCATGTGGCCAGCATGACTAAACACCAAGGCGCACGGAACGCTGTTACCTTCCCACCAAAGTGGTACCTATTTATCTACTTGCAATTTCTTGCTTTCAAACTGCTAGGTTGGCAGGAGCTGGAACTAGAGACGGGAGCTCACTCCGTCTTGCGGCACCCGGGTCTTGAACTGCTGAACTACTTCCACAGCCAGCAGTTCAGCGTCTTAACTACTTGAGCCACCGCAGCTCCTCAACACTTGTTAGTCAGACCTATAAATCTGGAAATTTGCTCTGATGACTTCAGTTTAATAAACTTACTACATCATACATCCGATATTCTTTAAGTTACTCTTGTTCTCTTTTACAAGTACAAAAATGGACTTTTACAAGTACAAAATGCTACAATATTTAGTACATGTTTATCTCACTTTTCCTCCAAGGAGCTCAGAACAGTGCAGTTTTCCCTTCCCCAACAACTCTGTGGGGTAGATCAAGTTCAGAGCGCGTGACTGACCAAGAAAGCTCACTGAGTTTTGCAGCAGTGCGGGGACTTGAACCCAGGCCTTCCAGATCCTTGTCCAACACTAACCATTATACTACACTGGCCCTCCAACTAATAATGTTTGCTTTAGATGCGCTATTATACACATACCTAGCTACACTCAACATTTCCAGTACACCTTCCAGCAGAAGCCAGACCATGTTACATATTTTTCTACATTAAGCCATAATCTCTAACCAAAGAAATTATCAGTGTTAGGACAGAGTAGATAGTCAAGTAGTAACAAATGGTTAAAACCAAAAGTGTATACCAAGAATCACAGCCAGTTAGACATCAGTACTGGTCAGCTATCCATGAGGTACACATTTTTATAGAATTTATGACCTAAGTACCAGGATATTCCATGAGAGGGTAATTTTTGGCTGTGATAACATCATGGCCTCTTAAGACAGGCCTTAAAATTTGTCATGGCAATTGAACAGGCAGGTGAATTGTTAAAAAACATTAGGGGGGGGGAGACCAGTTCAGAGGCAAGATTTGTTTTTTAAAGTATTTTAGAAGCTTTGGGTATCCATTTTTCCAGCATCACCTAAAGAGCAAACATCTGGATTTCCCGTGATAGCCCCAGAGCTAAAGCCAGGATATAACTAAGATCCTAGAACTGTTGGCAAAGACGTTTTGGTAAAATCAACACACTACCTAATTTTTTAAAAGTTAAATCCTTAAGTAGTCTCAACCATGCAATACACCTCTTCTACCCCAATGCTTAGAATAAAATTTTAGCTGCAGTTTGCCTACTATGATTGTCATGGGACTCAAGCATGGAAACGCACAAAACTATTGATTTAACTAGACAAGAGTGCAAGTTGAGAGCAAAGCTAGATGTGCAGCTCTTAACACTATGAGAGATGACTCACTTGGATGGCAGTAAACAAAGGAGGAAGCCAGTGCTGGTCTCTAAGAGACATAAGTAAGGGGGAGAAAAAGTTAAAGATAAAGTCTCAGTATGAACAAATTAATCTTGCTTGTACAACAGTTAAAGGCTATCTAGCAAGAATACCCAGCGAGGCATTATCAGCCATTTCCTTTTAGTTTCTGCATCTTCTCACAGACCACTGCTGAACTGTTATGTGAGAGGGTTCTTCTTTAACAGAAAGTATCCTATGTTGGAAACTCACTTTTGTAACTGACCCTTGCTTATTTTCTTAATTTCAGAAAAGAGGGGCATACAAGTCAACAAGCAAGTTTAAATGTACTGATGGGGAAAATACTGAATTCACTCCCAAAAAGCACTTTCACTGAATGTGCTTTTCATAAATGCAAAGCTTGGAGCGATGGCTTCAGAGCCTTTCCTTTTGAAAGCCTGTTTCTAAAGATAAATACAATAAATTAGAAACATTACTGTTGTACATTTTAAAATAAACATATACCATACAGGAGGAGATTCACAATTGCTGATAGTGGTGAAGAGGGGGCAAAGAAGAGGGGGCAAAGCTATGCAGCAAATGCTCTTGCTGCTTTTTAGACACCGTCAACTTTCAGAGTTTGCAGAAAGCCCAAAATAACAGCTGAGAGATGGGCAGAATGAAGTGACATATGAAAGCTTGAGAGGCTACCCATTTCCTACTTTATGCAAGGCAAACGTACTTTCTTTTCCAAAAAATCCTGCCATTTGGAATTGAACCAAGAGGAAGAGTAGAGGGAGAGTAGGGATAGCTCAGTACCCAGTTAACTTTCTGGGCTAGGCCTGCTGTTTCACAGTTTAAATTCTGATTAGGAAAAGAGATTTTTTTTTGGGGGGGAGATCCAGACTACATATTACAACCGGATTAGGCTCTTAGCCAGTGGCATAAAAACAGCTGTTGCAAGTGATAAAAAAACTGGGAGGGAGGGGTGAGAATAGAAAGTTCTGTACCTAAAACTGGCCTCACCAGGAAACATAGGGGAACATAGGGGAACACAGGGGGCTTCAGGCAACAGATTTCAAAGGGGTGCTGTTGTACCCTTCAGTGGAATTTGCTGTCAAGGCAGCCAGATTATACCCACCATCCATAAATTGTGCAAAGCTTTTGCATAACAAAGGACAGTATCAGTTTGGAGAAGGTTTTAGTCTGGTGTAATGCTTAGAATAAATATTTTATAAGTAGGGTGTTTTGAATTTCTGGTTAACGCGGTTATTCTTTAAGGAATTTGCTTTGGGGGTTCTCATGGAATTGCCGGATGGGGGAAGAGACAAGATATATGTCCCTGGGCCATCCTCATTTCTTCCCAACACTTTTTTTTCCCTTTACCCAATTCTCTCATCAGGGAACATTTTCCTTCACAAAATGGTGTGTTTTCTCCATACTCCGGGGACTCCCTTTTCACCATCCTACTGACAGGCTACCAGGCAGCAGGCTCGTAGCTAGAAAATTTTCGGGGGAGGGGGGGGACACACTAATCTAATTGGGCTCCCTGCCATGGAGTCCATGTGCAAAAAAATGGGGGGGGGATTGTTTGCTGAAAGCTGACTGGAGACAATACAATGCATAGCAAAGGACCCCACCCCCACCCGCCCAGCAGCTTACTTACTTCCCTCCCACACTGCTGCTCTCAGCCCTTCTCAGCCCGCTTGGTGGCTGTGGCAGCAGTGCTCTGGTACCTCAAAGGCATGAAGGAAGGCGAGCATGCCCCCTAGGGAAGCACCAAAGCTGCATCAGTGAAAAGAGGCGAGCTGGCAGAGGAAGTGAGAGAATGTACGCCCAGCCTGTGATCCACCACCAGAAAGCACATCAGTGCCACGTCCTGGCTTCACCTTGTGGGAGAGGCCAGGAGAGAGGGTGGTACATGGCCAGACTCTGTTTTAACTCTGTTACCTTAGCTGGGCCCGCTTACGGTTGAGAGGCTTCTTTTGCCAATCGCTGCTGCACGGAGTGGTTGCTATTAGCCCATCCAAACGCCTCACCAGCTTCATGGTACTTAGCACAGTCAAAAGGACATTTACCCTCACTGTGGCGGGGAAGTTCCGGCAACAAAGGGAGAGTAGGGTGGGTGGGCAGGCGCTCAGCCTCTCGCTGCGACCCCCTCCCAGCCACCCATACACTACTCCAGGCTCCTTCCACCTCCTGGGGGAGGGGAGGGGCACATTCGGGGGTGGTATCCCCAAGGTTCCCCGTGGCTATGGGCCTGCCAGGCAGCTGCAGTAGTGGAAAGTGACACTGGTGGAGGACCTGTCACAGACAGTGGCAGACATTTCCGCTAACTCTCATTAGTACTAAGCAGAAGGCTATGGTAAACCACTTCTGCTCATCTCTTACCTTGAAAACCCTACGATAAGACAATCAAAAACTAAAAAAAGATACAGCACTGGAAGATGGAATTCCCAGGTTGGATGGCACAATCAGCCATTGGGAAAGAGCTAAGAACAACTATGAACAGCGCTATTCTTAATTATGCAACTGGACTAAAGCTGAAAGGGCATTCAGTTATTGACATGAATGGACGCAAAAGAAAAATCCAAAGCAGTCTGCCACATATAATAGGAGAAGTATGAATCAAGGTAACCTCAAAATCATAAAATGAGAAATAGACCATTTAAGCATTGCAATCCTGGGAGTGAGTGAAGTAAAGTGGACTGGATTAGGACATTTTCAATCAGAAAACTATTAAGTGTTTTAATGTGGAAGTGACAAACACAGAAGAAATGGTGCTGCTCTAATAGCGAGGCAAGATGTAACACAAGAAGTCAGGGGACATAATACAAAGTCTGACCAAATAACATCAGTCAGACTTAATGAAAAGCCTATCAATATAACCATCATTCAAGTTTATGCCCCAACTACAGATGCTGAAGAAAAAATTGAAAGCTTTTATGCAAGTGACCAGGAAGAAATTGATCACATGCCCAAAAAAGATATGCTGATGATCATAGGTGAACGAAACGCAGAAGACAGACACAAAACAC